GCATGTGCATTGGCCTTCTCTCGCGTGCCTCACCCATCACTCGACCGGGTCCAATGTCAAATCCGGGCAAAGGAACGGGTCCCTATCTCCCTTGGGTTCTCTAGGCTTTCATGTTTCTTCCTCATACCCTGGCTGTGTCCATTTGCACCAACGTCTTCAATTTCCAAGAATTTGCCTTTTCATCGTCAAATCCGCCTTTAAGTACTTCACTTTGAATATTTTATTTTGTACTAATTCCAAACAAACTCACCTAATCATGCATAGTTTCAAAATGCGTTTCTTGCTCTAGTGATAGGGTTCATTTTGTTCCGAAGCAGATCTTCCCATATTTTGCAAAGCCTGCGCCGGTATGCTCCAACAGCAGGTTTGCATGAATAGGAAAGACGCCTCGACGGCTCCCACAAAACGTAGAAGAGATTTTGTTCGTGGTTGTAGGTTAAGTAAGTTGCGGAGATATTTGCTGTAACAATGGTTTGAAGAAAAGACTGACTGAACAGCTGAGGATTCTCGATCCTCCTTGACAATAACTGACTGAAGCCTGCGCCTGGCCTGTATGTAATAGCCTTGACCCTTGTCCAATACTACATTCTATCATATAATCCACTCTTCTGATGAAGAGATCACGCAATATTCTCAATATCTGATCCTATTAAAAGATTCGGGAAAACGAACCTGGTCCTAGCCACTTTTTTTGACTTAAGTCACAATATTAGCTTCGGCTATCGACAAAAAATCAGAATGCAAGGTGTGCAGCGAATGAGGATATGTGACTGAAGTAGTTCACAGGAGTACTGCTAGCTGCTCGATGACGCTGGCAAAAATTGAAGAAAAAGCTACCGGGTAAAACGGAGCCCCTTGTTCTGGCTCGAATATTTCGGCTCATGGACGTCATAACTGAGACGGCGACGTTTGCACGAGTGACCATCGAGTTGATTCTCGTTTTGTCGTTTGCTGCAAAGCCAGCTGCCCAAATTACCGAACTGAACTAAGGGTTCTGCAACGATTGTGGTAGCCGCGCTGGTAGGTTATTGCTGCTCACCACTAAGCAACTTTTCCGTCATAGTCGCTACGCTCCTCCGATCAGCCAAAACCAACCGCTTCGTTTGGCACATATACTGCCCAATGACATATATTCTTTATCATCAACTTGAAGCATGGCCGCGACAAAAACCACTAGTAAGTTCCACAGTCAACAAAATGGCCATGAAGATTTCTGTTCAAGTCTCAACTAAAGGGATAACATTGGAATTCTAAGAGAGATCCTCTGACGGGAATAGACATTGCCGTCTTGAGCATGGAGAACAACATCGTTGATGACCAACTCTCGTGCGGCGCTCGGGCATTTGCTCGTTTCCATTCTCAGACAGTTCATATATCCATCGAAAAGATTCGTTGCAGAGAAAAAGGCCACGTCAAATGCGTGCAGCAAAAGCTGAATCCGAGCGAGTTCAAATCAAAAGGACCACTGGTGCTGCAAGCTGCCCTGAGGGGAGAAGTCGTACGTGATATGATTAGGCAAAAGAAACCTCCAGATTACCGTTCTAGACTACATTTGACATGATTTCAGAAACATTGGCCTCGCCCTTTGATCTATGGAAAGTCGTCAGCCTCAAGAAAAATTCCCAATTGATCCTGCCAGTCAGCACGAATCGTTTGATCGGGACTGAGAATAAAAAAAAGACTTGATAAATAAAAGGGTTAGTAATGTTCATACTCAGCACAAACGACTCCATATGGAACTCGCGTTGATTATTTGTTGACAAGAATCAAAATTTGGCCGAATTTCAGCAATCTCAGTCCATCGAGCAAGGAGACAGAACTTTTGTGAGAACGTCACTCTTTCCTCACTTCTTTTTGTATACTATGGCTTATATTGATCTTATTTGATAACTTGTTTATCTAAGAGCTTTTCATGCACGATTAGGATGCACACTCCTTCCTTGAGTAGGTGTGGGTTGTTGTGTGTGCAAATGCTATTGGATATGGTGATTAATCCGACGCATAACTGAAGCGTAGCAACCGTAACTGAGAACTCTCAAAACCACATTGTGCTCTGGATACGAGCGATATTGCACGCAATCCCTACCTTTTCCCAAAACAGCCCCTCATTTTGAATACGGCAAGGAATTGGTGCTAGTCGAGGGGAAGCAGGAATACTGAACGAAAAGGTAGAGGCGGAGCGGGTTTTTGACAACTTATTGCGGTCTTTTTTACTGATGTCAACCAGCACATTTACTTTCATTCTTGGGCACAACAGCTATCTATCGCGTCTTCCTTAAGAAACATGCCATCCTTCTTTCACATACCTAGCGACAAGATTCCTATTCATAGCAACGTCGTCCTCTGCCTATAAAAGCGTATCACACAGCTTGACTCCCCCCTCCCCCTCCACTATGAATTTAGCGATTGGCAGTCCAGGTTGAATGCAACGGGGACAGACTAGGTGGATACGGTTCGATTCTGGGCCATCTTTTATTACCATTCAGAAAAATCTTTCAGGCTTGAAACTTGACCTACGTCTTAGCTGCTACGTCTGAAAAAATAGCCAGCTCATTAGCGCATTGTTTCCAAGTAGAATTCGAATTTTTATGGAAGCTCCTCATGTACCTTCATTTCATGAGTACCTATTGAGTCTTCCGGTAATCATGCTGAAGGAAGGTTCTACCACAAGATGGGTTTGGGCAAGCTCCCTCAATCCAGTGCACCGCTGTTACATTCTATTCGGGTTGGCTTTTCTTATCAATAAGAGATCCCCCAATCGGACCCCCTCTCCTTAAAGGAATCTTGCGCGGAAAATTCTTGCACTCTTTCCTAACATGAATATGTCAGTTGTGATCACTGGAAATAGCACACAAAGTTTCACGCATGAAGATTCGGTTTCTGAAGAGAAACAAACGTACAAAAACTACACGTTATGGACCATCGAAGGACCAGGAGGCAGAGCCAGGCGAGGCATGGAAAGAAGACGGCGTTTGGCCGGCTACGTACCAGGCGACGCAATGAGAGAATCGGGTTAAAGCGCGCGATTTCGGAGAGTGGAGACAAATCGATCGATGGAATAGGATGGAGTAGAAGTGTAATGCAACGAAGTCAAAGCCAAGGAAAGAGCTTCTAGTGAATGCTGCGCTCGGTGCTTTCGGCGTAACCAGCGGCGAACCATCCTAGGCGAGTCCGCGAATCCTAGAAGGCCAAAGCCTAGTCCAACGATATAGATGTTCTTGCTGCTGGATTTCAACCCCGTACAAGCTTTGCTTTTCCGAGTTTTCGCCAAACCCACTTTTTTGGCCAAAGAGACTGCACAGGAATCCTAACTGGTATCGCCACAACGCAATCGAAAATAAGTGTCTCGAAAGTTATCAAACCAGACAGACAAAGTCGTTTTTCTGAAACCGCTCGACGCACATGACAAAGAAAATATGTGAAAACTCGGAGATTCAGGGGAACTTATTTCATTACGGCCTCATAGCTCTGGTCTCATGCCAATGGCATACTGTTTGCTCCGTTCACTAGCTACTTCCTTAGGGGAAATCTATATATTGGCAAGACGGGAGTGAGATATCACCCAACCTGCACGTCATGATTGTGGATTATGGTGATAAGCAACATATACTTTAAAAAAAACTTGCCAAGAAACAAAACAAAAAATCAATTCGAAAATAGCCGGGGTGGCCCAGAAATTTCGGACCGACCTAATGAATTCCTATTCTCATTTCATTAGTAGCTGTGGGCTGAAAATTCCGACCACTTAGAAGCCATGATAAACCTGCGAGCCTATACGCGTCTAGTGACTTGATGACTAGCATAATTTTAGCGATACTAAATCGAGAAACAATTCGCACCGTTTCGGAAATGACATTTCCTCTATATAACCTCAGGACTTACAGGACGGAATATTGTCATTCGCCGAAAGATTAGCAATCAAAGGTCGGAGAAATAGACATGTGGTTTTTTTTTCAGGAATCCTTGGATCCAAGTAAGTCACTAGTGGCAGCACAGATTGCGTCGAAACCAAAGAGGCAATCTCCAGAGAAAACTCAAACACCGTCTGCGGAAAAGGAAGAAACGCCTACGACCGCCAAATCCACCCAAAAGACCCAACCTTCGGCGTTGTTAACAAGCGACAAAAAGTCATCAGCTACGTCAGTAGGAAGTACGGATAAGACGAAGTCATTTTAGAAGACAATGTTATTTCTTAAAGAAAAATAGATGGCAATATTAAACGAGTAACATTTGTTGACTTCTTAAATCAATAAATTACATATTCAATATGTATTACTACGGGATGTTTGTAGGGAATATCCCTGTTCATAAATCGTTTCTAGCAGATTTACCCGGTTTTCGAACTGTATTACGCGATACAAACTCTAAATAAATTGAAATTCATTCTGCAGAAGCGGTATTCAATTTGTGTCAGAATATCTGGATCCCCAAGGAAGGGGTCTCATTTCTCGGGTTTCGGACAGTTTCAAATGGTTTCCTCCCTGCTCCACTGACCACCTCTACCCTTATTGCCAATAAGCTAACTTTTCATCGTAATTCTAGCTTTAACGTACTGAGCATCACTGGAATTACTTTGTGATAATTATGCTTTTCTCCATTGATTATAAAAAACCGTGAACGTCGGGTGAGGCGGGAACGCCACACTCCCCCCCCCCTATCGCGCTAGTACCACACGAGTATCGTACATCGCGCGTCGTCGTGAATGTGTTAATCAACGTCAAACTATGGTCATCGTTGCTTCAAGGCGATACCCCAAGCAAGCCACTCAACGTATGATATGAGCACTGTAAACTCTTGCAATTTGAATGACGTCAAAGACTCGGCGAAATGAAAGTAAAAAAAAAACATGGAAAATGTGATGATAGTTTCTCCTCATTGCCCTCAGAATTGACCTATTTGCAGTTGATGTTGAGAGAATCAGCGGCCGAAGCTTTTGAGTAGACTGCCTTCTAACCTTATGCCACGCTACCACGAATTCCGAGATAACCTCGTATATAACCATGAAAGAGTACCGATTGTGCAATTTGGAAGAAGACGAAGTAGGTGACTTATCGGCATCAACACTCTCTGAAAACCAAAGCAGATCATACATACATACATCATACATAATGTAGGATGGCTGGCCAACATCATGGACAAAAAGATACTGCCTACATAAATTACGAACGATATTGATTAACTATTGGGGCGTTCATAGTTGGCGATCGTACGTGGGAGTAGGCGATTAGGCGATTAGGCGATCGCTCAATGGGCGGAGCAACAAATCAATACGTATCCTTCTTGCATCGCCTACTCGCCTAATCGCCTACTCGCCTACTCGCCTAATCGATTCGTAAACTTTTTTTTGAAATCATCGTCTAGTCGCCTAATCGCACGCACGAATGCGCCCACAACTGTGAACGCTCCACATATCATGTAGTGTTAATCATTCGACCATATCTCCGTTTTTGAAAGGATGCCTGCATTCTTCAATGATCGCTGTGATGTGTGGTCGCCTTCCATGAATGTCATGCCTATCTCGACAGAGGTCTCTTTTGTCGAAATTTCGACCAAAAATTCATTTTATGCTGTCCTAGAATGCCATGACACAAAATAATTTTGCAAGTCATTAACAGTGATAATATTATGCCTTGAAGTAAGATTATAATAGTGAAGTGCTATTACAACCAATCACTAATGAACGAAACACTTGTTGAATCTAACAGGGACCTCAAACTATGCAGATTTTTCAGTATACACTTGTAAAAGATTGAAACGTCACATTCTGCCTGATATGCTCCTGGAGGAGAGATATCCTTTCAATAAAGCAAATGCCTACTTTCGCCCTTGTGTATCAAACCCATTTTTGCCGATAGTGGTACATTAAGATGGGGCAAAAAAGTCGTTTACCCTCATGACACACATCGTCCCATGCTTATTTGCCCCATTGGCAGCCGCGTTGATGAAGGTCTGCGCAAAATAGTATCTCTTACATGTCTCCACCATAGGTGAACAGCTGACTACCCTCTTCACTGCCACTCACCCTTTGGAATGTACGTCATTCCTATCGCATCCAGGTCGCAGCCTACAGTAAAGGCGCTCACAGCCTGAATGCTGCTCCGACATGATTACTGTCTGATCGAGTGTAGCTGATGAAAACTCGCTAGCGAGGGAATATAGACTAACCCAGTTTTGCTTCGCCCGCTATCGCGCGCATCACACGGCAGGCTTTAGCGAAATTGGAGGACCCATGGAATATCAGCATGAGATACTCCATTAACCATCTCACTATTGACTGTGTTAGACCCTCCACAGTTTCACTGAAGCTCATCGAGAATACGCGTGATAACGTCTGAGCTGAACTGGTATATTGATCACAACTGTAAACATCCAGCATTTTTCTTGAATTAAGATAATTTAGCGGTGAATAGGATTGCTGTCAGTCTCAAAATCAAAACGAAATATGCCTATTTACATAAGTGAGGAGCTAATGCTTATCATTCATTTACATTCATCATTATTTAGAACCACGAAAGGATTAGCGGTTTAATGAGTTTGGGTTTTCTTAATAGTCAGAAATGAAACTTATCATTTGCTGAAGACTTGTTTTTAAAATTTATGCAGTCGAATTCTATTAAGTAAGCTGGATATATATCGAAATAATGTGCACGTACCTTTGTTTGTACTACTACGACTTACTACAATTTGTAAGTAGGAACGCTCTAGTGTCAACGCTGCGTAACGGAATTGACGACTTTTGCTTTCTGACGCGCCTTATCAGCCCTTATCAATCGTTATCAGTTTCTGGCACCCACCAACAATGTCCCCGTCCCACCCCACATAACACTTGTAAGTATGGTTGCTCTGGTGTCAACGCGAGCCAGGCAACGGAATCGACGACTTCAGCGTTCTGGCGCGCCTTATCGGCCCTTATCAATCGTTATCAGTTTCTGGCACCCACCAACAATGTCCCCGTCCCACCCCACATAACACTTGTAAGTATGGTTGCTCTGGTGTCAACGCGAGCCAGGCAACGGAATCGACGACTTCAGCGTTCTGGCGCGCCTTATCGGCCCTTATCAATCGTTATCAGTTTGGCACCCACCGCGCCAACAATGTCCCCGTCCCACCCCACATAACACTGTTGTGTTTAACTTTTATGCGTGGTTGCTCTGGTGTCAACGCGAGCCAGGCAACGGAATCGACGACTTTTGCGTTCTAGCGCATCTTATCAGCCATTATCAGTTGCTATCGCTTCCAATCATGTACCACCAATGTCCCGGGACCGCCCCACATAAGACTTGTAAGTATAGACGCTCTTTACCAATATGAACGGCAAAACGAAATTGGCGATGCTCGCTTTCTAGCCCCTCTTATCAGCTATTATCAGTCGTTATCAGTTCCTATCACGTACCACTTGTGTCCCCATCCCACCCCCTATAACATATGTAAGAACCACTGCGCTATCGTTACTGTGACTCGAGCTATGAATTTCCGGTCAAACACACACACACACACACACTATCTTACTGGTAACTCGTATGCTATGAATTTCCCGTCAACACACACACACACACACACACACACACACACACACACACACACACACACACACACACACACACACACACACACACACACACACACACACACACACACACACACACACACACACACACACACACACACACCACACACACACACACACACACACAACACCACACACACACACCACAACACACACACACAAAGCTTATATATAGTAGGAGAATGCTTCTCTACAGACAGACTAACCCACGACCAGCGTTCAGATAATCGTAATGGTCCACAATAGGTCGAGGACCTCACTGAGCTCGACGTGGCAACTTTACCCGTGTAAATCTTTTTCCTGATGTCCCCGGGTGTAGAAAGTAATACGAAAGTGTTTCTGATACCGTAAAAATGTTGGTTTTCAATCTTCGATTCGGATCATTCCGCTGAATTTTGGCTGAAAGTTGATTTTATCCGCGCTTCAGATTTAGCACGGTTCATGACTTTTGCCCCTGATCTTAACTAGGGAAGGATGAAGGGTCGAAGTGGCCATATGAAATGAGACAAGTATCATGGTATGTGGTTTCGGACGCTGATCTCGAATCTTCTTCCCAAATCTGCCAAACGATTCGCTGAACGGAGTTACGGAGGTTTTTTGTTCCCTCACACAGTTTAACACAGTGAGAAATGAGGCCTCAGCAGCAGCGGCTTGTGAAGGAAGCAGTGAGCCTTTCTCATCGAGTGCTGGTGGCCTAGTGGTTAAGGTGGTGGGCTTGGGATTTCGGGGTCAGTGGTTCGGATCCGCCCCGTGTTTTCCTTTTGCATTTTTGTGACTGACTGTTTGGCAGTAGTGAAACATGATTCCTTCATCATTGGTCAGCCCTACTTGCTTTTGAATGAGTCTGAGGTCGATAACTTCGAAATTTTTCCTAACTTGCATGACACTACATAAGGTTAAGGCGGACCAGTATACGGAGCGCGCGCTTCAGCCGTTTTTGAGTGAACGAATGTGAGATCTGTGTTCAAGTAGTCCAATAACTCCTGGGGCCGATTTCTAGAAAAATTCGAGATTTTGAATTAACTTCAAAAAAGTGGGCGAGTCACTCATTGATGCTACATATCCATAGCCGGTAGTTCCAGGGTTGACCTATTTTGGACGACGGCGGCCCTTCAAATTTGAAAATAATAAAACGTGAGAGTTGAAATCATGCTAACAGAAAGCCAGACACTGCTTTACACTCTTCAGAACCAAAAAAAAAACTTATATCGTTTCAAGGCTATAGGCTTCGATGATAGGCTGATGGATGAATGGATAGATACCCACCCAGCTTATTTCGAAATTTGGTCGAAATCTCAAATTTGGCTACAAACTTGTCTCTAGGGGTATTTCAATCTCCAGAACACGAATATCACACCTGTTTGCTGCAAAAACGTCTGCCAAGAGTTCTGTGGGCTCCATGTGCAGTCTGTAGTGAGTACCGCAGAAACTGATTAGAAACTCTTCGCAAAGTCTTTGCACGGGTTACTACAGGCAAGCATTGATCGAGTAAGGTAGCTGGGAGCCTTTTCATCATTTTGCAGCGAAGGCAAAAAAGAGAACCCGCCAGGGAATCGATCCTACGACGTCTCGCACGTGAACCCGGACTACTACCGCTGCACTACTTTCCTTCATAACTCCATTCGGAAAATCGTTTGGCAGATTTGGAAAGCAGATTCGAGATCAGCGTCCAAAAACGCATCCAACGGTGTAGGTCTCTTTACATATGGCCACTTCGACCAATCATCCATTCTGTTAGCTGAAAAGGCCAACGCAGCAGAGTACTGATCGTAAGGACCTCGAGGACTAACAATAAGTGTTGGAGCAAGGATGGAACGCTGGGTCAAACAAAATGTGTTTGTAAGACAACAAGAATGGTTCTGATATTTCGCGGCCTAAAGATGTCCCTTCACTAACGACATTTAGTGTCCATCATGGGGTATGTTGTCTTTCGAATGACTGAGCAGCTGTACAAATCTAGGGCTTATGGGAGGCAAGAGTGCAAAAGTTCGTGGGCGTACAGTAATTCCAAGTTTTGTAGAGAAGAGAATTTTCCGGTGTGTGTAAGTGGAAGCGAAAGGATCACTCACTTAGGAGCTTGCCAATTCTTGCTGAGACTACTGTTCGCACGTATAAACTATACCGCAGGTCTTACTACCGCCCACTAATCCGCGCGCATCACACGGTAGGAGACCCAGCGAAATATTGGCAGCAATGACCGCCACCTGGCGGCAGCAGCATCAACGGTTAGAATAACTGCATCACAATGGATATAGCCTTACTCTTAAGAACGGTTGTTCTCGTGTTCTCAATCTCTGTCCCACCTCCCCCATCCTTAACCTCCTCTCCGCAAGACCGCGCCTATGTTCTCCCACTATCTTCTCGCTCTCCCTTCCCTCCTCTATCTCTCCCTCTCGCCTTCCAGAATCCTCTTTATTGTCGCCCTGTGCCTCCTTTACCTCAATCAACCCTCCATCTCCCCCCCCCCCGTCTCATATGCCGCGCTCGCTCATGCCACGGCAGCACCATGTAGAATGAGACTGAGTGTGCTCGATCGGTTGTTTATATAGCCGCTGTGGGTGTTATCATGATCATGACATCAACATCTCGAAGTGTTGCCCTTCGTACTCCCTGGTTTTGTGAGCGGTTGGTCCGGACGGACAGAACGACACACACCGACAAACCGACACACCAAACTTCTGGTTTATAAAGTGAATCAGTTGAAACTAGCATAAATAATACTATCAAATTTATACGATCAGTTGAATCAAATGCATGGCCTGCTTGACCCAAACGAAGTTTCACCACTTTCTCCAGAACCATCTATTGAGTCACAAATTAACCACAGCTGTCCACAAATGTTCTCCATTCATTCGCGGGTGAATTATTACTCCTTCCCCCAGAATTATTCAGTTCTCGATGCGAAGAATAGTTGGACACCCGTTTCGAGGTGTTCCGCGATCATCGAAGCTGTCCGGAGAGGGAGGGGGGGGTGAGAGAGAAGAGATGAGGCCGCCGTGATTTTTTAGGGGGGGGATTTGGATTGTTGTTGGCGGGGCTGGTGGGAGTTTTGTGTTGGAGATAAAAAAAGATAACAAACGAATAAAGGAAAAAAAGAGCGTGGAAAACTGGTGACCTAGCTTGATATAAACACTAGGATCTTAAAGGAAGGGAAATACGATGAAGCCGAGTTTCTGTATGGCATTCTGGCACTTGCATACATGTGGGTTGCGGGTTGCTGCGCGGTGGAGCAATTTCATTTTTTTCAGCCACCTGAACGACCTTTTGGAGAGAGAGTGACATCAAATTTACGCATAGTTTTCGAGTACGCAAGCGATTTTGTTTTGATATGACATAGAAGAGGCGATGTGGATGATTCTTTGACACATTTACTCAAACATTTCAGTCGAAGCTAATTTTCAATACAGATCTTCCCTTTTCCAATAATGTTAAGGACCTGCGAGAGGTCATGCACGTGCAGACCTTATCAACACTGATTCTTCCCTGCAGTGTGTGAGAAATCGTAGTTCATCTTCTTTTAAAAGGAACATATTACTGCACATTATGAATACCGCTCGTGAGCAGCTGATGCTGCAAACGCACCTATCTCACTAGGATCTCCTCCAAGAGGCTCGTCGCGCGGCGAAGGAAGAGACGCAGACGCGGCAAAGGACGAGTCGCTGGCGGTTAAGCATCAGGGTAAACGGGAAGCGGCCATATGGCGCGAACCCATTGGCATTAGAGCGCACAGTATCCAGGACAACTCGTACGCAGACGCGGCACAGGACGAGTCGCAGCGCATACTGTAGTGGCTAAGCATCAGGGTAAACGGGGGGCGGTCAAGCTGCTAGACTTCAGCAATTGATCGAATAATTTGGGCTCAAAAATCTCGCTGAGTCCCAAAGATCTAAAAAAGAGCGGGTAGCTTCGCTGGCCTGATGCCAAGGCAAGAGGAACGGAACAGAATGTGTTGCGCGGACGAGTTGTCCGGCCACAGCAGGATGTGGTAATTACGGCCTGTGCGCTCCAATGCCAATGGGATCGCGCCATATGACGCACACCCGGGTAAACAGAGTGTACCATACTACGTCTCATATCGCACAGCACGCGCTGCAACTCGTCCTTTTTTGCGTCTGCGTCTCTTCCTTCGCCGCGCGACGGGCTTCTTGGGGCCCATCTCACTACTTTCCCTAGATATTGAAAATCTCAACGTCAACTAAATCAGCTCAACTCCCCGTCCTTGCCTTTCTTCTGAAAATACGTGTTTCAGCTCCCTATTGGTGGCCGCCTACGTCGACAATGTCGAAAGATACGACAGCAAAAACGACAATGGCAACTCGCGCGACTTTACCACCTCAAATAGTTACACAAGGAATCACTCCGCCCAGCGATAGTCCTTCTCCTGTCACCGATTTACCGACAAGAATATCAAGAATAATGACAGTGGCCACTGACAGAAGAGAAACAATGATACACTCTACAACGACAAAGCCAAAGGAAACAACGACGAGGGGTACCGCCCCAGGAGCATTGGGAAGCCTCACTACTATTTCTTCTACTAGCACTACTAATACTCCCATCACTAGCAGTACCACCAAAAAAACTACAACGGAAACCTCAACAACTACAACGACTATCACTACGACAATTACACCAACCTCTACGACACCTACCACTACTACGAGGACAACTACACCTACCACTACTAAGACGGCAACGACACCTACTACGACGACACCTACCACCTCTACGACAAAAACCCCCTCAACAACTACTACTAGAAAGACCAACTAGGACTACCACTAACGACAACTACAACTACGACAACAACTACAACGACAACAACCCCGAACAACAACAACAACCACTACACAAACTACCACGAGAGCCATACAACCTACTGCAATATCGACTTCTACCACTGCCACTATCTCAATAGCGTCAAATTCGTCACTGGGACGACCGATCACTGGGACGACAGCTCCACGACCGATCACTGGGACGACAGCTCCACGACCGATCACTGGGACGACAGCTCCACGACCGATCACTAGGACGACAGCTCCCAGGAAATCTTCATCGCACGTTCCTCCACAATTGATGAAGTTAGTAAGCATTTTTCCACTGAAGAGTTGAAAGTTTTTGCGACTGCTCTGTCCCACAAGTCATTTCCATATTAAATAAGACATAGCTTGTTTTGAGAGCTACTCTTGAAATTTTTATAAGTTGTGGTTTTCTAGTGAATTTAGTTTTCTTGAAATTACACCAAAGACCACGCAATGCACTGAGTTCCTCATTACAAAACTCGAAGGCCCAGCGGAAAGTCAGTTATACATCTTCTATCATGAGCTTCTCAATGTGCTGATCACGCATATAGCCCATAGCTCGGCGTCTGGGTAGGCGGGAATTGACATGACAGCCGGGGCGCTCGACGGAGGTCGCGTGGGCAAGCTATTTGCAACATCGCTGGAAATCAGCAATGCATACAGACGACCAGATATGGAATATACACCGCTTGTAGAAATCATACAGCCACTATAGTCGAGCCAAGTGAGATAAGAGGGATTTCTTGCGTTCTGTTTACATCATTTTTTGAATGCTTCCCTTCCACAAGATGGCTTTTCTATTTCGATCAACATCTGAAAAAGAAAAACGGCGAGAGGAAGAAGGATAGCACAATATATACAGAGAGGGCAATGATTCAAAAAAATAGTTCAGCCCTCACATTCAAATGAACCTAAGCTTTGCCAAATTCAAACGTCTACGCCTTCATCCTTACCGAAATAATTGTGTGAGATTCAAGTTGTTGTGCATTTCAAACAAAAAATAAGCGTAAGTAAGGTGAGGACGGCGCGCTCGCAAAATCGCTCCTGTCCCACGAGGTGCAAAATGCCAAAACACGCGATGTCGTCAACGTGTTAAACTGCAAGTTGTTTGATAATTTATTATGGGTGATATGAGTGAGGTGACTATTATGGTTGACTGAGTGCAACGCTGTTCTTAGCTTTTGCTTCTGCTTCAACGCTTCAGTTCACTGTGAAACGAATTTATAACAGAAACACGAAAAAGCGAATTCGCGGTATTCCCGGAGATTCTCGAAGATTTAGGGCTGGTAGAGTATCGCCATCGCATTCAGACTAGACATAAGCGACGATCTTTCTACAAAAATTTTAAATATTCGGCAAGTATTTATGAAGAGAACGGTCCTCTTCGCTTCAACATCATCGGCACACACCAACTTTTAAATACTAATTCAATAATCCTAATTTTTTCTTCTTTTCAGGCCTCCTCACGGCATGCAGAATGAACAAACAGCATTTAGCACGTCAACATTCGAGTAGGTTTACAAGTATTAGATCGGGGCATAATATCGAAGCGCCTGTGTTTGGCACACACCTTTGGGACGATGTTGTGGCAGCCGAAGCAACCTCCAAGATCTCGAACTGGGCAACTTTTAAACGTGTGATAGCGGTTTTCGTGAGATGTCTATACAGCAGGGTCTATACAGCAGTCTATACAGCACTATGAAACAGTGAAAAATTTACCAAAATTCCCTAAATTTCAACCAATTTACCCCACTTTCTACCTATAATCCCACTGCTTCATTTTCTAGGGGGGGGGGTTTCTCCCGTGCGCTCCCAACTCACCTAGCCTACTACTTGTGAAAACTCCTTTCACTCACATGTACTTTCACGCGACTG